AGGGTTCCAATTTGATTTCAGAGAGATTAAAGGGTCCTCCGATTTGATTCAGCCACCAGATCAGGCCAAATTAAATCAGGGACCAAAGCTTTGCACAGCCATAGTAGTTTTCCACCTGACTTAAAAAATCACATAATGCTAGGTTTTTGTTTTTGGGGGTTTTTTTAGGCATCCTGAAACTCAGGTACCTAGGTTAAGGCACTATAGATGCTTGAACATCTTCCAGAAGATCTAAGGCTACACAATTTATTTCTTGTTCACTTTCTATAGGCACTTTTAGGAGCTGGAGTAGCTAATCTTTTAGATGCATATGAACAGAAAGTAAGGCATCTTAGGTTATTTTGTCCCCAAAGAGTACATGATATATAGAAGGAAATCTTGAATTACACAGAGAAATTAAAGGCCAGAAATACTGTGCATTATGTTGCACAAACTGATCTCTTGTGGGAAGAATAATTCAGGTACATACCACACCTAAATCATTCATCCTTCCATGATCAAAATTCTACCTTCCTAGGAGGATACTTTAAAGCAATGCTGGGTTACACATAAAAGATATTTATTTCCAGCAGATGCAAAGGAATATTAAGACTGCAGTACTATGGCCAGATACAACCATAAGGATGTCTGCTGTGACTAGTGCTGAGTGATTCCTGAAAGGATCTCTCTTTGTACACTCAAATCTAGCTCCAAAATTAATTCACTGTGGCCACACATGCACATGTGTTCATTTGCAAAACATCTGCGTGATCAAGTTCCACCCAAAATAGATGGCTGAAGAACACTGGATTTCAATACTGCTTAAATGAGTAATCAAAAAAATTAAGTTTAAATACTTGCACCAAGGATGCCTGCATACCCATCCAACCAGATGATACACCTTGTTACTAGTTTGTATAATCCCAGCTAACAACTAGAGTGCACAAGAATTTGTTTTATAAATTTCAAATAATAAAAACTTCAAATGGTAGCTAAACAGGCTTAGTTATTTATTTATATAATTCTCTCAACTTTTCTTTTATACATTTTGTTCACTTAGGGCACCTATACACGTGCTGGACATCTGCTCCAATGCATGCTAATTAGCATGCTTCAGCAACCTCTGCGTCATGTATATTCAGTGTCCCCGTGCTTCAAAATGGCAGCAGGGGTGCTTTAACTAAAGCTTGAACGAGCATCCAAATCCACTCCCTCAAATGAAATGCAGTCAGAATATCATGATATGGGGTAAGGAGAAGAATTTTTTAGGCTCGCCAATTCCCTACATTTCTGTTTCTTAAAAGCTTCATCTACCTGAATTTAACAAACATATTCCCACAATATTAAATGCTGCAATAACACTTTCAAAGGTTTTTTTTGTATAAATATATATACCAAGATGCTCAGCTAGAGCCAACTGCTCAAACTTGTGCAAGCCTCCTTGCCTAAATGCTATGGTATTGTTTTTCTTAAAAATGCATTCAGGAAGAAAAGTCAGCACATAAAAGAGCGGACCATGAACATTCCCCCAGGCCACCGGACTACACTTTACACTGACCTAGCAATACCACAGCAAAGCATCTAACCTAATATCAATGGACCTACCAAAAAAATCAAAAGAAATAGTCCATGAAATCGGCTGCCAAATTGTGGGGCCAGCCACCGTTTTCACAGGCTTATCACGGCAACCCCCCTGCCCATGCCTCTGACTGGCCAAGAGGGCTGCCCATCATGTCAACCTGTCCCTCGCTGCTGATTGACCAAGAGGGCTGCCCACCATCTCGGCTCCTCCCCTTTGCCCCAGCAGCCTCTCTTTGCCCCCCCCACCGCAATGTCAGACCATAGCAGCCATGACAACCACTAGTCCTACTCAGGAGCCAGCACCTTGTGTTTAGTAAGGGTTGGGTTTTTTTGTGGATTTCAGGGGCAATGCCTTATTCTGTGGCTTCTATAAAATACATAAAAATGATGAATTGAGTAGGTCCCTACTCACATCCACACATGGTGTAATGCTCAGATCCTTTTCAAGTCACTATGTTTTCAAAAAATTAGTTTCCATATACAATCATTTTTATTGGCATGGTGGGGTAAGGGCAGGGGGAGACCTAGAACAATTGATAGCAGCACTAAAAAAAAAAAAAACACAACCCAACAATATTTGGAGTCTATACTCCAGGGTTTTAACAGGAAAAAGCTACTATTAGCTTGACATTATGATTCTATGTGGTCAGGAATTCTCTCCTATTCCCCTTGCACAAAAAGTCACTGTCAGTAAAATCATGATCACCACCCCTTTGGAAAACCATTTACTCTGCAGCCAATATTAAAAACACTCAATGGAGTGATGTTTACAGAAACTGGCACTGTGCTGAGGCAAGCAAGTCCACTATTAAGATTACAGCTCTGCAAAAAATCTGAAAGGCCACTACACAGTCAGCCAGATTGGTTAGAGAGTGATTCCTAAAGTTACAAGAACATCACTGTATTTTGTGGATATGAAGCTATTCTTTATCAGAGGTGAGGAGTGGGAGAAAGAAGGGAAAGAGAATTATTGTTTTACAGCTCAAATATCATAACTGTATATTGAACACTGAAACTAGAAGGCCAGCAATACAGCAAGCCATGGTGGGTGCCCCTTAGTTTGCCATTGCTGCACACCCTGGGTTTATCTTCAAGAACAAGGCCACCTGAAATGTATACAATAAAAGCCCTGTTATCTGGCAAGGGTGGGGGATAGGGGGTGTTGGGTATCTAAAAATACCGGTTACCTGAGGCTGGCTGAGTTCTGGTTAAAAGAGTATTCCAGTTAGTAAAATGCCACATAAACAGGGCTTTTACTGTACATAGGATTTGATTTAAAGTCTAAAAGGAATGTTTCCTTTGCAGAAAGAGGGCTTTGGAACGGGATTCCCCCTGTCCGCTAGCACACAGCCTGAGGAAGCTAAATGGTTTCTAATGTATTCTATTAAGCAGCAACAATGGTACTACATTAATAAAACATTAATTTAGCACTTTTCATTAGTAGATCTCAAAGCATTTCATACAGGAAGCCAGTATCACCATCCCCACCTTACATGAGGAAAACAAAGGCTAGAAACATATTATATTGGAAAAGAAAAACCAAACTTTTCATATCCTTAACTACAGAAATGAGATTTTAAATGAAAAAGGTGAGGAGACATGATAGTGTTGTAAGAGATGGCCGTGCTGTCTCTAGGGCCCCTATGCCCCACCAAGAAAGAAAAATCTATGCTACCACAATTGGAAACCCTTTTGTGACACTTCAGTCCCTGCAGTAGTTGGGCTGCAGGTGAGGAGAAGAGAGGAAAGCAGCTGTTGTGGGTTATGAGAGAGTGAGAGCAAGCGAGAGAGGAATAAGGGTGCAAGAGGAGAAGCAACTTTATATATAGGCTTAGCTCATTCTGCAACTAAAGTTCTTGCCTAAAAATCTGTGGAGATGCTTTCAAGCCACTTAATGAGCACGAGAGGGTCCCCCCCACCCCAAGCATTCAACTACTTGGTCGTCAGGTTAATCACTTATGCTGAAAATGCTTACATTCAAACTGGACAGCACCAAGAGTCTGTGCACACTTGTGTCATTTTTTTTCCCCCTACAGCTCCAACTTTGGGGTTCAGAGTTCTCTTTGCTCCCAGCAAAATAAAGAGGGACTAAAAGGTCTCAGCACCTTATAAAATTTGGGCCCTATAAAATTTATAAGCAGCAAAATTAGAGCAGGCATTTTGTGCACTGGAGCCCCCTAAAACACTCTGAATGAATGAGGTTCATTCCTGAAAATGGCAAGAGATACACGCATTCAGTTATAACATGTAAAATGCCAAAACATAAGGGAATCAAGGTCATTTAGTGCATCATAAAATGACTATTGAACACTTGGGTTTAAAAAAAAAAAAAAAGCCTGTTTGTACAGCAAAGAGCAGGACTGCATAGCAAAGCTAGTGACCTCAGGAAGCTGTAAAATACACTAAATCTGGGACAAGTTCTCCAAATAAGATTAGTGCAACTGCATTCCACAAGACAGCACTGATGAAACAGGGTACAGGCACTGACCCGCTGGGGCTTTAAGCAATCCTTTATGGGAAAAGCACTCTGTCCCACATTTGTTTAAGAGACAGATTTTATGTGACATCTATAGCTACAAGTACTGCTTATAATTGTACAGTATAAAGCACAGTGATGCAACAAGAGTACAGAAGTAGCATCTTAGCATGTAGTAGCTGGTGTATTTTGGATAGCAACATTTCAATTCCACAATAACTGCCTTCCTTGGACACATCCTGTTTGGAGGATAAGTACCTTGGGAAAGTTTAAAAAAAAGGTTCTCCTTCAGAGCACTCAGGAACTAAAACTATTGATTCAGTAAGATATATGACTCAATGGTAAAGCTTTAGACTCAGGTTAGCTGAGCCATCCTAGGCCATAAGGTAAAACCTAGGTGTCATTTTCACTTGAGCTGAAAACTTATCCTCTGTAAAATAAGGACACAGGGTATACAACTCAAACACTGACAGTTCTCCAATGCTTTTCCACCATTCCACCTGTTTTTCTAGGACAAAAGTTTTTTTCCCCCCAGTAAATTGTGGGAGAAAGCTCCCAACCATAGACCTGCCCCCAAAAGCAAATGATACACAGTAAGTTAAGGTGGGAATAAGTTCCATAGGAAAATACAAAGTATATTAAAAAAAAAATTCTTTTTTTACAATTTTCAACATGCTACTTTGGGTATTCTAGGAAATTTAAAAAGTGACCCAGTCTGCACCATTTATTATCCTTGTATCTGCTACCACCACACCATCCTTCAGCTCATCTTTCCTGTGATGAGTAGTTGAAAGGGTTAAGACTACTCACAGAGAGTAATATCATGGGGGGGGGAGGAACCTGTCTAAGATCAGGAAGTGCCCAGACTTAGTAAAATATGAAATGCTTAACTATGCAAGACAGTCAAGGGAACATTTCTTTTAAATGCCAATACAAAAAGCCCCCCAAAAACAAAAAAACTCACCCCCAAAACCCCAAATCTCTCACAAAAGTTCCAACCACAGAGAAAGTCGATTTCAAAGTTGTGATTAAGGATGACGATGGCATTCTCTTTCCCGTACTTGTGGTAACTTTCTGGGTCGGTGTAGAGGGTGCAGTCAGTGCCTGACCACCATTCCAGCAACATCACCATCTCTGGAACAAACAACAAAAAGAGTGAATGAACATACAAGATGCAACTGACTGACTGGTGGGCACTTGTGTATGCTGAAAAAACAGCTCTTTGCCTCTTAGCGGGCACAGTAAAAAAAAAAAAAAGTGACCGCAGCTCATCATCTACATCATCTAGCCGGAATCTGAGTATTGGCTGCACGTGTTTTTTAGTACAGCACTGAGGTGGGGTATACAAGGACAAAGAAGTTGAAGGCTTGTTGAAGGAGAGTCATGCATGTGGATTTTAAAATGCAGCAGTCAAGAAAATACCAATTACACCACATGGGCCTAATCTAAAAAGTCACCCTTCCAGGAATGTTCAGCAACTCACTGGATTGCACTCAAACTCCAGGGCTCTCCATAATCCTGAAAATTGGCAAGGAAAAAGAAGGAATTGCACAGTTACTGCAATACTAAAGTTACTGTCTATTGTTACCACTGTTGGCAGAAACTTCCTGACTTTTTCCCCATACCATCCCCCTCAGAAAGAAACCTTGCAAAGAAAGGCTCTATTCTTACTCATCAAATCACACCCAGTTACACAGCAATATCCCATTTGATGCAATAAGTATGCCCAGAGACTTCTGGGCACATACTAAGTGGCCTGCGGGCTGCTAAGTTAGAGTCCTGGGCAAAGGGGTGGACGGGAAGATTCAAAGCCCTCACTGGGTCCTCCCCCGCCCCCCTTGGAGTAGGAGAGGAGGAAATGATTTTCAAGGGCACGAAGATGAAGTCTGATCATTTCACTCCTGTCAGTAAGTTTTGGAGGACACCCCTGAGCTTGGCTGCAGTGACTCGAAACAGTCAGTGCAGTGGTGCAGCACCCTCTTTGGGAGCAGCCTTTCCTGCTGTGGCTGACAGCCTGGAGGTACTCTTTCCAACAGTGCCAATTCAGCAAAGCAAAGGGCCAGCCAATTCCCACAGCAGAAGCTAAGCACCCAAGTATTTTGCACAGGAGAACAGCTGTTAGTTGGGAAGGCTCATTCTATGGCAGGGTGCCATGTCATCAAACTGGTGAAAAAATGTGTTGCTGCCAGCCTTGGCAGAGGCTGCAATCCTCGCCACTCAAACAGCAGTGCTCTCTGACGCCCCTATTTCATGTAATAGGATCAGCATTAAGGGCCTGATCTTGCTGTAAGAAATGTAAAGGCTTTTTTTTATTTGATGGGAACTGTTCCCTAGATGGCGAAGTAAACAGCTGGGGATGAAGAGGATGGGGAAGGTAGGCTGAAACAAAAGATATACAAAAAAAGGGGAAAAAAAAATCACCACCTATTTTCCTACCACAACCAGGGTTCTGTTTACTTTTTGAACTGTTCCCAACTTGGAGAAAAAAAATAAAGTTACTCAGTTACCCTGTCATTTACAATTAGTTTTACATTCTGGTTCCTATCCAAACATAGTGTTCGGGTTTCTAAATGTATTCTGAAAATGTTTAAGTACAGGCAAAAACCAAAACCCTGGTTTTCATGTTCAGAAACGGTTACTGCTATAAGCTGCAGTCCTCAAATCTTAACACATTATGATAAACCAATTTAAAATGAGTTAAACCAATTAAAGTGCATGTATATTACAATTTTATATTGCTTTAGTGATGCTCATTGTCTTCTACAGATTGGATTTTCAATTTTCTGAAGTCCCATTTCCATAAGTCACTTAAGTGCTTATCATCCTTTTAGAATAGGGCTTTGAAAAATTTTGAAAGGCTTCAGCATGCCTAGCTGAAGATGCGGTTAGAATAGTGGTTCTCAACCTTATTAGACACAAAGCATCTCTCAGATGCCAGCTCTTAGCTTTCACTTGTGGGGGTTTTGGGTTTGGGTTTTTTTGCTCGTTTGTTTGGTTGTTTTTTTAAACTTCAGAATAGAGTAATTCTGTTGCAAACTTCAAGTCTATAACAGGTCAGAATTTTTTTTGACATGATGGGTTCCTGTTGGAAGTCTCAGGATTTACCTGTGAATCACTGTGTAGATGTTTGCATACTGACCAGTAATATATTGTGCACATCTCACAGCATCCTAATCAAGAATCACTGGGTTAAAAGGAACACGATCACATTCAGGAGGCAATGGAGAAAGTGGTGAAAGTTCAGCTGTTTTGCATTAAACTCCAAAGGCATGTTGTTAAAGCAGTGATTCTCAACCAGGATGCTGCAGCACCTGGGGTCGCCTTAATACACTTTCAGGGTGCAGAAGCATACCATGCAACACTAGCACTATTAGGTATGGAAACATGATTCACAAAATAAACCCAGAGATTTCAAATAGGAATCCACAGTGGTAAAAGCACTCTGATGTGTTGTGGTCTCTTCTGAATTCTTTGCAAAACGATTGCTCTATTATATGCCTGCAGTCAATACATGAGCAAAAATAAAAAAGAGCTGACATTTTTGAGGGACTCCTTGCATCTAAAAAAGTTTGAGGACAACAACTTCCTTAAAGCTACTTGCATCCACTGATGTATATGGAAGTCACAAATGATGCAACAGAGTTGAAAGAAGGTAAAAAGCCAAGAGGGAGATGCTACAGCTTAGGCTATCTTCCTTGTTAGGAAGGAAATTACCTTATTTAGTCAAATTTAAGGTGAACCTCCCAATAATTAGATTTCATATGTAGAAAATTTAACATTTATTATAATTTTCTATTAAATTATTGGGTGGTCATCTTGAATTCATTCCCTCAACACCATAGGGGCAGGCAGCTTGCCGCCTGCTTGTGCCTGGCCCCTGCCAGCCCCTCTTCCCTGCAGCCACAGGCCCCTGCTCCCCACAGCCTCTGCTCCTGCTCTTCCTTGCCTCCTAGCCTCTGCTTCCCCTCTCTCTCCCTTCCTTTGCTCAGTGCTAGCAAGTTCAGTCCCTGATCTAGCTTAAGGCACACAGACAGCCCCCAGCACAACCCCCAGAGCAACTGTGCGGGATACATGCTGCTGCTGCTGCTACAGGGGCCAGCCCACTGGCACAAAGCAAAGGTAAAAGGGGGAAGAAAGAGGGAGGGGGGAGGTAGGAGAGCAGAGGCTATGGGAGGGAAGAGGCACACTGCAGCTGCAGTCCCAAACCTGGGTAGGGGCTAAACCCAGAGCTGCAGTCACCTGTGCCCACCCCCTATCCACCACTCCTGTACACAATTCTAAGATGAGGTGCTTCCCCCCCCCCCCCGTTAAATGGAGGGAAAAAACCTCATCTTAGAATTGATTAAATACAGTAACGTACACCAACACACACTGCACCAACTATCTGTGCAGGGGTATAAATAGATTGAAGTCATCATAATTTGGTATCTCTTTCAACTTTGCCCTGTTTTCAGATGCAGTAAAAAACAGTAAGGTTCCAGAGAACAGAGTGACTATATAATAAAGCCATTCATTTCTTCATCTCTGTATGGCTATCATATATTGGTTTGATGATGCAACCACTGATGTCACCACCGTGCTGCCAATTCTCATAAAATTCAGTTGCAAGGCTTTGAAAATTTCCTTTCAACCCCAGCTGGAATTGCAAGCCTGCATGAAGATCTCAGCTCTTGATAAGCTCTAAAAGTTTCCTAGTACTTACCATGGAGAAAAGCTTGGACAAAAAGAAGAAAAAAAAACCCACACAAAAATAAGCCATGATAAGTACACACTAGAGACTCAGAAACCAGTCTCAACCAGGATGAAGAAAAATTTGTAAATCTACAACTAGAAACACTTTTGTGGTTGCAAAATTTAGAAAAATCTCATCCGCAAATAACCAACTAAGTGGCCTTGGGAGGGACAAGAGGAGGAACATGCATGACATTAAGTTTTCCTTTGATGATTCAGATCTTGGCAGGAACTTGGTTAGGGAAGGTCCCGACTTAAGGAGGTTGGACTAGATGACCTCCTGAGGTCTCTTCCAGCCCTATTTTTCTATGCTTCTATGAAGTGAACCCCCACACACCTCCAGCATTTAAAATCCCATGATTTCTGAATGATTAGGATGGGTGACACTCCAGTGTCAACATGCTTGCCCTTTATTTGCAAGCTTTTGGACACACATGCCCTTCTTATTATTCTACCCTCTAGCTCACCTGTGAAATAGGAATTTTCATTTCTACCTGGAAGAAATTTTACAATCTTTGCATTCTCCTGAGGAAGGGCGTGCGTGCCTGAAAGCTTGCAAATAAAGAAAAGGGGTTTTTGCAACTATCTAGTTGATCTAAATAAAAGATATTGCCTGTAGCACACTGACTGCTTGTATTTCTTTGACCGACACAGCTACAACCTTTATCCCCGAAACATTCTTGCTCAATTTAGATTAGGTTTCTATATGTTGGTGTTTTCTTCCAGGAAAAACACTGTTTAGGAAAAAGGCTAGAACAGCATTAGCTAAGCAGGTAGACAGGCAAAGAAGGTAAAAGCATGGATCAATTTCAACACGAAAAAAAAATCAAAGCCCTTCTCATTCAATCTAGCAGAGATCAGAACCAGGGAAGCCTCCAAAATCATTTATTTTCTAAAAGGTGAAATCTGCACATGGCCAAGAACAAAACTACGTTTTTCAATATTCATTAGCTAATGATTGCTTGAGGCTTTGAGATGATATTGCACCACTCATAACAGAGTAGTTGGGAATGATGGGGAGAGAAGGAAAAAAAAAAAAGTCTGTCTGCTAAAATTAAAAATTCAGACTAAGGATCAGCCTTCATTCAGACAGCAATAGTTCAACTTAAGTTAGTATGCGTAAGGTACAATGACTATATC